TTTTTTTTTTTTTTTACATATTTTACTGTACATTATTTTTTAACATTAATATTTATGTAAGAATAACTTTTTTTTTTTTTTTTTTTGTTATAAGGAGATAATTACTTAATTTATATAATTTTTATACTAGAAAAATATTCTTTAATAAATATTCAACATATGTTCTTTATTACTAAACCCTGGCTTTTTTTTTATTTTTATTTTTGTTGTTTTTATTAGTTTTTCTATTCTTATATTTTTAAAATTTCACTTGATTTTTTTTTTTTTTTTTTTACATTTCAATAAAATTAAACTTATGTAATTTATAAAAGTAACTTTCTATAAAATTATGAATAGGCTTAATTATTTCTATATAATATTAGATGCATATTTATTTTGAAGATTGTTGATAATTGTTAAAATCATTATACATATATGTTTCACGTCTGTAAATTTTGCACTTTTTTTTTTTTTTTTATATATTATAAAAAAGCATATGTACACTTATACAACTTATAAATTATATATATAAGAAAACATATATTTTTTTTTTCCTTCTTTTTAAATACAAATAAATATATATGTTTTTCTAAATTATGTAGAGTAATTTTTTTTTAGATTATTTCAGAAATATTTTTTATTATATAAAATAATTATTTTCATGGTTAAAAGAAAAAAAAAAAAAAAAAGAATGTACGTAAAATTGTAGTTTTATTTTTAAAAGGAATAATATTATTTCTAACTTATTTCTTCCTCTTAATATATATAAATTGTAATATTAACTATTTCAGTCTTTCATTTCATCCATTTATTTAAATTTAAGAAGAAAATAAAAAACATAAATTTATTTTATTTTTATTTTTTACAAAACTTTGTCTAATGAATAAATGTAAAATTAATATAGGAATTTCTCTAAATATTAATTTTAAAAATTTTTAATATTTTACATGTGTATAGGATTTGTATTTTTAAACTTTTTAAAAGAAAACATTATTAGCATTTACTTAATTTAAAGAAAGGAATTACCACTTTTGTTTATAGATATAGGTTATATGGAATTATATGGCAAAATAAATTATTTTTAATAAATTCTCAAAATAGATTAACAGGTAATAAAATATAATATTAAATATAATTCTAACATAATATAAAAGTTTTCCTTTTTTTTTTTTTTAACTTCTAAAATTGCTAATAATATATAATAAAATAAAATTGAAAAAATAAAAGTAAAAAAAAAAAAAAAAAAAAAAACTTTAACACACTAAGTTATATACTTCATGAAATTGAAAGTAAATATGTTCACGATACTCATGTAAATGTATAAATAAATTTGTTTCATTCAGATTTATACATTATATATATTTGTTTTTTTTACTTACATATTTTTTTATTTTTAATTTGTAAAGAATTTATAAATTTAAAACATTCATAAAGAATATTTTATAAGGGATAAGTGTATAATTTTAAAAATTCTGTCTTTAAAAATTAATAGTAATATACATATTTGTATGATAATTATGAAAATACAAAATTAAGATTAATCTTCTCATTATGTTAATGTAAAATAAACTGTATTTTATCTAAAATTATCATTTAAGTTTCAATGTATTAATATAAAAAAAAAAAAAAAAATTTATATAGATTCATTTTTTTTTTTTTTTTTCATTTTTTAAAATTAAATGTATAATATTTTTTTTTTTTCGTATTAGCATTTTTTAACCGCATATTATTTTTTAATCATAATATATAAAATTCTTTGTTTTTTATATACTATTTAATTTTTTTTTTTACTTTATATATTCCTTTTTACTTTTTCTTTTTCTTTTTCTTTTTCTTTTTCTTTTTCTTTTTCTTTTTCTTTTTCTTTTTCTTTTTCTTTTTTTTTGTTTTTTTTTCTTTTTATTTGTTATTACTTCATTTGCTCTAAAAGAATCAGTGCTTTTTTTTTAAGGGTATTTTTATAATTAGATCTTAATGGAAAATTTTTGCAAATATTACTAAGAATTTTTTATTTTGTTATTAAAGTAAATAATTTAATATATATATTATATGTATATATATATATATATATATAAATTCAATTAAATGGATTTATTTAAAGTAGATAGTGCTGATATCAATTTAACATTTGATATAACTTTTTCTTGTATTTTAAATAATGATTTTTATATTTGTTCAAAAGATGGTCGTATATATAAATATCAAATAAAAATAAATAGAGAAAAATCGAATATTGAATTGAAATATGAGGAAAATTATTTAATTAAAAGCAATAAAACAATAAGTAAAATTGTAATAAATGAAAATGAATCTGTAGTTATAATTTTGATAGATGATTTTCTTTATTTTGTCAAAAATTTTAATTTTCAAATACTAAATTTAATTAGTAAAAATGTCACCTCATTTTATATTAATGAGAGTAATAAGTCAGACTTATTAATATTTACTAAAAAGAAGATGCAATTTTATAAATATGATAATGAAACTTATATAGTATTTAAAGAAATGTATTTTTCTGATAATATATTATCCATATTATGGGTTGAGCACTCATTATTTTTAACCTTAAATAAAAAGTATTATTTACTCAATTTAAAAAATAATGAAAAAGTTCTTTTGTATAATCATGAATATGATCAAATATACAAATATATAACATTAATAAATATGAATGAAATATTTATTGTTTGCGATTTATATATAGGGGTATTTTATGATATAAGTACCTCCATGCCGTCTAAAAAAAATACAATAACTTTATCAGATAATATTAAGCACATAACTGCTTTTCATTTTTTTTTATGTTGTTTAAATTCAAAAGGAATAATGGATTTTTATAATATAAATAATCAGCAGCATGTTCAATCAGTAGACTTAAATGACTACTTAGACATTGTTATTAATTATAGTTATGTAAGTCACAATTTATTTTCCATATTTGATTTTTCTAAAAGTAATGAAGAAAAAAGCAATAACAATTTCGTAAAAGAAAATATAGAAAAAAAATTTAAATTAGAAAAATTTGATGATAACAATTATGAAAAAAATGAATTAGATGACTTGAATATACTACCAAATACAAAAACTTATAATTTTTTGCAAAATAATATTTATTTGATAAATAACAAAAGATTAAAAGTTATATGTTGCATTGAATTATATAAATATTTATATAAATGTATTGAACAAAAAAAAATAGACAAAGGTTTTTTATTGATTGAAAATTATAATTTTGAAAATGAATCGCATCGAGAAAATATTTTAAGTGAATATAATAAAGCATGTGGTTATTATTATTTCAAAAATTTAAATTTTTCTATAGCATTTCTACATTTTGAAAAGACATATATCAATATTTTTTTTTTATTGTTTTTTTGGTTTAATGATTTTAATGAAGAGCATAAAAGAAAAATAAAAAATGAGGAAAAAAAAAAAATTGAAGAAAATATAAATAATAATTTTAAATTATTTTTGCCATCATTATGTACTATAGAAGAATTAATAGATCATAATTATTTAAATTACATTAATGAAAAAAGTGATTTTTCTGTTAAAGAAGAAAATAAAAATAATAATTTATTTAATGAAATAAGTAAAACAAAAGAAAAAATATTATATATTGCAAATAATTGTTTAATTAAATATTTACTATCTAAAAGAGATTATATTTATGAAAATAAAGAAAATATAAAAATATGTATTAATAATTCAGAAAATCAAAAAGATACAACATATAAGGAAAATGATTATTATTTATATACTCATGATTTAATTGATAATATTTTACTGAAATTGATGATTAAAAATAATTACATTAATTATTCTAGTTTTATTATGAAAACTATTAATTTAAATTTAAATGTTGATGAATGTGTTGATTTTTTGCGAAGTAGATATAAATTTATCGAAATTGTTTTAATTTATATACGATTTGAATATTATGAAAAAGCTATAGAAATGTGTTTATTCATACTTCAATATTATAATAGAAAAAATAATGAGATAACTGAAGAAAATTTTAAAAATGATGTATCAAATGTAAATGAATATGTAAACAAAAGTGTGAATAATATAGAATTGGAAAATAAAGAAAATGATAAATATTTATATTGGATTAATTATTTAGAAAAACAAAATTTCAAGAGTAAAATAGATAAAAATAATTCGTTAAATTGCATTTTAAGAGAAATATATAATGTAATAATTATTTTAAATGATAATGTGCACATAATAAATGTGGAACAAAGCAAAATAAAAAAATTATTTGAATACTCTTTTCAATTTTTAATTAAATATAATGAAAATTTATTTTTTGATTTTATAATAAATAAAAATTTTTTATTACGCCCTGATGAGATATTGAATATATTTAAAAAATTAGAAAAAAATAGATCAAACATAAAAATTAAATATTATATGCAAAAGTATGTTACAAGTTATTTAAAATATGATAAATACAATAATAATATTAATACTGCTTTAGCTGAATCATATATAAATGACACAGAAAAAAGTATATTTTACAGAAAAAAAAAACTACTGAAAATTCTTTATTCTAATTATCCTATTGATACCAATTATTTAATTCAAATAATCAAAGATCCTCAATTAAATCTAGTTAAGGCTATATTACTTGGAAAAATACACAGACATTAGTAATTAAAATAAATATATATGTATACATATTTATATAAGTTTTATTATTTACAACATTTATAAAATAAAAAATTTCTAGTATATTTTTTTATATTTTTATTATTTTATTCATTTATTATATTCATTTATTTTATTCATTTATTTTATTCATATATTTTATTCATTTATTATATTCATTTATTTTATTCATTTATTTTATTCATTTATTTTATTCATTTATTTTATTCATTTATTTTATTCATTTATTTTATTTTTTTATAATATTTTTTTAATGCAGTGATAGCCTTGCAATTTTATCAGAAGAGGGATTTCAAATATGTGAAAAATATTGCCATTATTATAATTTTTTATTAAAAAAATTTTTTAAAAGAATTAGTGAAGAAAATTATGAGAAAATTTTTTTTAGTATATATAATAATGACAGAAATATATATTATGAATTACTAAAAAATAATGGAGAAATAAAACTCGAATCACCTACACATTTTTTAAAAAAAAAAAATAAAAAAGTAAACAAAAATTTTATTAAGGAAATAACTATGGAATATCACAAATATAGTTACATTAGTATGAATAAAAGTATCATGAAAAAAATGAAAGAAAAAAAAAATAGGAACGATAAAGAAAAAGAAAATGAAAAGGAAGAAGAAGCAAAAAAAGATGAATTTGATTACATGTCACGTCTAATTAAAGAAGAAGAAAGTAATTCAAGCGATGATATAACAAATTTTAATGAAGATTATTTCATTGATAATTATTCATATGATTCCTTTGAAGAAACGAGTTCTGATATTTCCTCTAATTCATTATCAGATTTCAGTGATGACAACAATATACCTAATTTAAATATCAGTGAAAACGAAACTAAAAAGAAAAAAGGAATAAAAAAACAGAAAAAAAACACATACGAAAAGTTATATGGTGATAAACACAAAAACAAAGAGATAGATTTATTAAATTATTTCAAAGTATATAGAAACTCTAAAAATCGTTCAGGAGGATTTTTCTTTTTACTTGTTAAGGTTTATATGGATAAATATATCAAATTAAAATTTAATGATGAAAAAAAAAAGCAATATAAAAAAAATATTCTCTATATATTAAATAAATACTCAAATCATGATGACTTTGATAATATATATATATTTAAATTAATACCAGAAGAGTGGAAAATTTCAGAAATATCAAATTTTTTAAACTTCAATTTGAAAAAAAAAATGAATATTAATATGAATTTACAAATCTATCATAATTTAATAAAAAGTCATTATTTAAACATTTCTTATGATTTAATAAAAAAAAAAGAAGAAAGAATTCTAATTAAAGATAAAATGTAAAAAAAAAAAAAAAAAAAAAAAAATGAATTTTTTTTTTATTTCATTATCATAATATTCTGTTTCATTTATTTTTTTTAGAATATGTAATGTGTGTAACACACCAATAGTTGAGAAAAGTTTTGCTTATTTTTCAGAGAAATTAATAATTCACACTTACTGTTTAGAAAAATATGATGAAGAAAATTATAATTGACTCACCATAATTTAAATTAGCTAATTATACTTATATATATTTTTAATATTTTTGAAATAACTAAAATACATTTAATTATGTATATGTCCTTTCTTTATATATTTAAAAAATCTTATTTTATATATATATATATATATATATATATATATATTTTTTTTTGAGTATTTTAAAATTTAAATTTTAATTATTTTTCACAAATCCTAAAATCTAATAAATGAATAAAAATATACATACCTTTATAAAAAAAAATTTGAAAGTTTTAAGAATACATATATATATTTCTAATTAATAACTTGTAAAATTTTCCTTTTTATTATACAAAAACATATACAATAAATAATACCATTTTTGTAAAAAATAACAGTTTTTTGTATTTTTTTTTTAACACTTATATGCTTAAATTTAAAAAAATTAAATATATTTCTTTTGCATCAGATATTACATTTATCTTCACCTTCAAGAATACAGAAGAACGAAAGTTATTTATTTTTTTATTCATCACTTGCAAAAAAAATTTTTTTTCATTTTTTATGTATTTTTTTCATTTCATTATTTATTGTACATATATTTTTTTAATAAATATATTTTCTTTTTTTGTATCAGATAATAAACGTATCTTCACTTCCTAGAATGCAGAAGAACGAAAGTTATTTATTTTTTATTCATCATATATAAAAAAAAAAAGAAAATTTCAAATTTATTTTTTTTTTTTGTATTCTTATATTTGTATATTTTTTTTTTTTTTTTTTTTTTTT